GGCTGTGGAACAGCTCGGCTGTGAGACAGCTCAGATGTGAAACAGTAGTCGAGGTGGCCCTGGTGTTACAGCTTCAGCTGGCGACACAGTGTTCGAAGGAAACAAAGTGTACTCCACTGAGGCAGAAGTGAAGTTGGCTTATGCAGAGAACAGTGCCAGTCCCTGGTCCCTGATTACTCCATTTCTATACAAATGACTCCAAATCTGCACAGTTTGATCGGTCCAAATCACACTGTTCTGATTGATCAGAATGGAGCCACTCTGACGGGTCGGTAAAGATGCAAATGAGGATATAATTGCACAGCCCCAATTAGCTGGGGCAGGTCTTCAACCCATTAGTTAATTTACGAGCCTAGGAGCTCCTTTACAAAGGTCAGCTGAGAGGGCAGGAACACAGTGCAGGAGGCAGGCAGCTCAGTGCTGCTTTTCCCAGAAGTGCAGAGAGCACAAAAGGCCTTTGTTTAGCAATGACTACTAGATTCTGTTTATAAGTGTGAGCCCAATTAGCCACCAGAAGTCCTTCTTAACAGGTACATCCATTCTCAGGGTTGACATAACAAAGGACATATACACTGAGCTCACCTAACACATTATTAACATAAATAAAGTCTGCCTCGTGATTTATTCATTACTTATTTCCACTTAAAGTGCGTTTGCAAAAATGTTCCTGTCAGAAGAATTACTATCAAAACAGATTGTCATTCCATGTCAAGGACATCTCAGAATGGAAAAAATGAATGTCTGCTACTCATGACTGCTTACTCCCAACCAAAATGCCTGAGACACAATTTATTCAGGGAGATTCTCAGGTGTCCAGGAAACACACATCCTCAGTCATCATCCCATTATTTAAGAGTTCAATGGGCTCTGTAAGCACTAAACCAAAGCATACTTATTAGACTATAAAGATAAAATTACTGGCTTCTGTCTGCTTCTGATATTACTATCTGAGATGGTTAATTTTAATTAAGTATCAACTTGGCTGGACCAGAGTATTTGGTCAAATTTTATTGTAGACGTTTCTGTGAAAGTGTCTTTTAGATGCGATTAACATTTAAATCAGTGGACTTTGAGTATAGTAGATTACCCAGAATGTAGTTGCACCTCATCCAATCAGTTGAAAACCTTAATAGAACAAATACTGACCTCCTCCATGCTAGAAGGAATTCTGCCAGCTGATGGCTTCTAAACTCAAATTGCAACTCTTCCTGAGTCTCCAGCCTGCTGGTCTACCCCATCATATATTTTTTTTTCCTGGGCTTGCCAAGCCTGCACAATCATGTGTGAATTCATTAAATCAATCTCTCTCTCTCTCTCTCTCTCTCTCTCTCTCTCTCTCTCTCTGTCCACACACACACACACACACACCCACAACATCCTGTTGACTCTTTCTCTGGAGAACTCTGACTAATACACTATCCAAAAGAAAACAGGACTTTACCTTGAAATTTATTTAAAAGGCATACGGTTTATTTGAAGATAAACGATCAATAACCTTCAGTAAGTCAACAATAAGTCTAAAGAAAAGCTAGTCAATTGGCAGATGTGGAGACTTACTAGTTCTTCACCAAACAGTTTCATTTAATTTTCCAAAAGAGATTTAATTTTGAAAAGAGAAACTGCTTTAAGGAGAAAGAAATTTTCTAAAAACAAAAAAGTACTTGAGGCTAAAAGTCAAGATGAAATATTAAAATATTTATCTGCATCTTTGCAGATGCACAAAAATACATCACATAGATACACAAAAATATGTACAGGTCAACTTTCCTCAGAAAATTAATAAAGAATAAAATAAAGGTATAATTACTGACTATATTATACATTACTATTTATCTTGAATCATTATTTGCATTACTTTTCTCAATTTCTCATAAGAACTAAGAAAAGTAACAAGAGGTACTATACTATAATAAATATATTTGGTCTTTGTTCTGGGTTCCTGGCACAAAGCTCCTAAAACCCTTGTGATTTTAAGTGATAGGAGCATCTTTTGTCATTCCTAAGGAGCCCCTTTTGAGCATGACCGAGTTTATGCTAATGAGTAACAGGGTAGGACTCCTAAATAGACCCAGGATGGGGCTGGTCACCAGAAAGACCAAATGATTAGAGGGTTGGAATTCTCAGCCCCACCAATGGGTCTGTGGGAAGTTAAAGAGGGGGCTACAGATCTACCAATTAAGCTCTAGGAAAATTCTTGAACAAGATTTGATGAGCTTCCAGGTTGGCGAATGCATCCACTTGCCAGGAGTGTGGTGCACCCCAGTTCCATGGGGACAGAAGCTCCTGGGCTAAGAACCCTCCCAGACCTCACCCTATGAACTCTTCATCTGCCTGTTCATCCATATTCTCTGTAAAATCTTTTATAACAAACTGGTAAACATAAGTATAGCAGGTCCTTGGATAACGTAGTCCCATTCAACATCATTTCATTATAACATTGATGAGAAAAAAAAACTTGATTCCCAGCCAGGGCTACTGTCTGTGTGCAATTTGCATGTTCGCCCCACTCTGTGTGACTTTTCTCCAGGGACTCTGGTTTCCTCCCACATCCCAAAGCTGTGCATGTGAGGTGAACTGGCGTGTCTAAATGGTCCCAGTCTTAGTGAGTGTGGGTGTGTGTGAGTGCGCCCGAAATGGAAGGGCATCCTGTCCAGTTGGGTCCCTACCTTGTGCCCTGGGCTGCTGGGAGAGGCTCCAGCCCCCCACAACTCTGAACTGGAATAAGCTGGTTGGGAAATAATTATCTTACTTGTTTTTCTTAATCTTTCCTAAATGTACATATAGCTCACATTTCTTTCAATGTTTAATAATAGAAGTGTTTGGGGTTTTTATGGAAGTTTGGTGATGTTTTTGTGACAGAAATATGCCATAAGAATTTAACTCTTGCTTCTATCAATTAGTCTATGATAAAATTGGTTTCATTATACGTTGTTTTGCTCAAAGTCAGTTTCCAACAACCTATCAACAATGTTAAATGCATACTTACCGTAAATGTGCCTCTGAGTTCTTCTTTGAGCTTCTCTAATAAATTAATCAAATCTGAGGAGGAGGCTATGGGAACCTTCCATTTATAGCCAGTTGGTCAGAAGCACAGATGACAACATGGACTAGGGATTGGCATCTGAAGTGGAGGCAGTTTTGTACGACTGAACCTTCAACCTGTGGGGTCTGATGCTCTCCCCAGATAGTGTCAGAATTAAATTAAATTTGTAGGACACCCAATCAGTGTCTGCTGAGAACTGGAGAACTGCTTGGTGGTATTGGAAAAAACACACATCAGAAGCACTATAATCTCAAGAAGCAGTGACCTGACACAACAAATTTCTTTGCATAAAAGAATCCCCAGATCTTCAAAACGCTAATACTGGGGTTCATAAAGACCCACATGTCAGCACCATGAGAGTGCCTATATTAAAACCACCTTGGTTGGAATTCATTTTTTATCGTTGCATGATGAGACAAGCAAAGAGTTAACAAGACTGAGCTTGTGGGCTAACAGGAATGAGCTGAAACATTAACCACTGGGCTCTGACTCCCCTGGCCAGCACTGCACCTACAAGCTGACAAGCACCTTACATCCATCACAGGTGAGAACAAAACAGTTCCCAATTGCAACAGCAACCCCCCTGCACACTAATAAACACCCATCACAGATGGGAACAGAACGGTTCCCACTCACAACAGCAACCCCCTGCAAACTGACATCCATCATAGATGGGAACAGGACAGTTCTCAGGAGGAGACAATTGTAACGGCAGCCCCCCTGCAAGCTGACAAGCACCTGACATCCTGCTTAGAAAAGTATAAAACTCAAAGTAAACAGAAACCCGGTGCAGCTGTCCCTATTGGGCTCTGCCCTGGCACAACTCCGTTTGCCAGTATCTCTATTACGCCTCTGCCTTCAGCAGCTCTTTCTCACAGACTGAACTGGCAAAACTTCTGCCAGTTCCAAACAGAACTCTCTCTCTCTGACTTTCAATAAATCTTTTCTTACTCCTGTAGAGTCTTGTAAATTCTTTTATATTCTGCAAACGACCAGGGGTTAATTCTACACCAAGACATTGCATACGAAAGGAAAGGAGCATATAGGAGATCAGGACTTAAAAGTGGTAGGTGGAGACAGAAGCACAGAGATGTAACAGAGAGCCTAACAATTTCAGTTCATCCTCTGCAGCTGTCTTTCGGAAGCTATCACTTTATAGTTTTACAATATCTACATACAGTAGTGGGTCTCAAAGCATGGTCCCCAGTTCAACAACACACCACCACCTGGAAATCTGTTAGAAATGCACGTTCTTGGTCCCCACCTCAGACTTACTAAATCATTCTCTGGGGAAGGAGACCAGGATCCTGTGTTTTAACAAGCCCTGACTCACTCTAAAGCTTGAGAACCAGTAATCTCCAGTAAAGTCAAATACCTTGAAGTATGAGACACAACTAAACCAGGAAATTCTACAAACTGAGTGGCAGAAGTTTGCTACATCACTATGTACCATGTAGAAGAAATTTTTATTAATATTATCCCTCCTTTTTTGTAAGGCATTTATTTCCCAATAATATCTAACTGACAATATTTAAGAATTTTCCCATGACCTAAAATTCCATTCATAAGGCTGCTTTGTGCTCAGCAAGACACCAAAGCAGACGTTTTTAGGAAGGAGGATGGTACATTCCCAGGCAAAACTTATAGGCTGAGGCATCATATTTTCAATTACCAAGCTTTGAATGAAGTTTTTTAGTTCTTCCATCATATAGTATATAAAAGTCATCATGAATAAATGCCTTATGGAAAAGGAAGAATAATATTAATAAAAATTTCCTCCCCATGATCCATAGTGATGTAGTAAAATTCTGCCACTCGGTAAACACTGAAAAGGCCAAATGTATATAATATTCCTATAAGGTTTTCACTTCCCTATATGAAAATCTGCCAAAGGACAATTCCTCTGCCAATTTAATTCAGGCTATTAGAATTCCTTTGCAGAGAAAAAAATAAATACCTTTAAATTGCTTGATCATGTTCTGATGATTTTCAATGGCTTCCTTTAAGATCATTTCAGGCTGATCCATCTTCCACCGCCATTCAGTGCCCACTGGGTTGGTGTGGTGCCTAGGAAAATGAGGGCGAAGTTCTAAAGTGCTCTCTGAAATAAGATCTCAGCTAATCATCTACTATGAGGTAGCCAATAAAATCATAACATCAGGGTTGATTATGCCCTAAATGTTTAGCTGTTTATAGTTGTATTTTCTGATTTAATTGGAAATGAATTAAGTCATGATACCTAGAGGACAGGGGTGGAAAGAGAAGTACCTGGCCAAGACTGAGGTGCTAGAACAGAAAAATGACAGTAATGGGAAAACTGGCAAAATCTAAGTAGTCTCCAGTTTCATTAACAGTATTGTATCAATGTTAATTTCTTGGCTCTGATAACTGTTTTATGGTAATGTAAGGTATTAAAATTAGGGGAAGATGGATGAAGGGCATATTGGAAGCCCATATACTACCTTTCAATTTGCCAAATAAGAAAAGGTTTTCTTGGGGCCGGCCGAGTGGCTCAATTGGTTAAGAACTCGCTCAAGAGTGTGAGCTCTGAGCAACAGGGTCGCCAGTTCGATTCCCGGCCCGAGTTGAGCTGCCAACAGGTGGCAGGATGGCTCAGCTTAAAAAAAAAAGGGGGGGGGGTTTCTTTCCTTAAAACGCTAAACATTGTTGGAAACATAGGAAATAAATATTTGTATTCACATACTGATGAATAAATTGATATAATCTGTGTCTAATATATACAATCAAAAATACAAATGATACTTTGTATATCAGATAATTACGCAGCCAGCTATAACAGCAATTAAAAATTATATTTGCAAAAAATAAGCCCATCTTAGTCATGGTTTTCAATGTTCTTTTTCAGCGCTGGACTTGGTATTTTAATATGCTGTCTAGGAGTTTACATCCATGCTCATGACTGAAAGTGCACTGTAATCTGTGTTTCCCATGCTATTCTCTGGGTTGGTATCAAGGTTACACTAGCTTCTTAATATGAGTTAGGAAGTGTTCCCTCTTCTTTTCTGTCTGGAGAGTTCGTTTTCCTTGAATGTTTGCTAGAACTTATAAAACCATCTAGACCTGGTTCCTTTCTGATATGATTTGTAAATACTAATTCAATAGTGTAGTGATTATAGGACTATTCAGGATGACATTCTTCTTGAATTACCTTTGATAATTTAAATTTACAAAGAATTTGACTGTTTTCCAAATTTTCAAATATTCATCAATACTCTTTGTCTTTAATCTGCAGCATCTATAGTGAATATAATTAATATTTGTTCTCTCTCTACTTTTTGATTTTACAAATAACAATTTTAAATAGAACCTCCTATTTCAATTGTATTTGATTGGTTTTATCTCCACACACAGGTATGTAGTGCCAGTTCTTTAATTCAGGAGGTTTAGGGTTTTGTTTGTTTCTTTACTTATTCATTTATTTACTATTTATCTTACCAGAACAAGAGCATTTCAAAGTATTTGGGGACAGTTTAAGTTCATTTGCCTTAAAATAAACTACAAATTATATCGAGCCCAAGAATAAAAAAAAGAAAGAAAGAAACAATCAACACAGTGCAAAGGCAACCTATGAGAGAAAATATTTGCCAATCAAATGTTAGATAAGTGGTTAATACCAGAGTACACAGAGTACACAGTAACTCAGTAGCAAAAAATAAATTAATTAATTAAATAAAATGGGCATAAAATTTGGATATTTCTGCAAATAAGACATAGAAAATACAAATTACCAACAGGTATACAAAAAGATGCTCAACATCACTAATCATCAGGGAAATGCAAATCAAACCACAATGAGGTTATTACCTCACACCCATCAGTATAGCCACTAGCAAAACAACAGAAAATAACATCTGTTGGCAAAGATGTAGAGAAATTAAAACCCTCATGTACTGTTAGGAATGTAAAAAGGTGCAGCCACTATGGAGAATAGTATGAAGGTTTCTAAAAAATTTAAAAATAGATCTGCCATATGATTCAGCAAACTCACTTCTGGGTATTTAGCCAAAAGAATTAAAAATAGGATCTCAAAGAGGTAATTCCACTCCCATGTTCATTTCAGCAATATTGACAACAGCCAAGATGTGTAAAAAACCTAAAAAGACTATGATTAATGAATGGATAAAGAAAATGTGCTAGGTCATAGAAACGGCGGCAGTAAGGAGGGCTCCCTGAGTTCTCCCTTGGAAATTACTGCAAATTGAACAGAACTCATCGGAGGGACGTCTCCTTATCATATAGAACGGCTGAGAGACTCGCAAAATGGTTGTTTAAAGGTGGGCAAACCGGCGAGTGGGGGAAGAGGGAAGGGTGGGGTGGAGACAAGGCCCGCACCCACAGCTGCGGAAACGCAGGGCCCCAGGAAGCAGATCAGAGAGCATTACAGCAACAAGGGGGCTCACTCCCTACGCCTCCTTGCAGTCCCACAGAGTGCAGCAGGAGCAAGCCTGGAGCATCTGAGGCAGAAGCCTCGGCTCAAAACTGCAGCGGGACAGGTTTTTGTTGTTCTTTTCTTCCTCTCTCTCTGGGACAGAAAGCAAAGGACAGCTTCATAAATAGGTGCCCACTCCCACTGTCCCTTAGAAACCCTAGCCCGTGCCATTCCAGAGTCTTAAACTGATTCCTGAATGGAGAAGTAGAGCCAGATTATAGAGGTGTTCCTACTCTCCAGAAGAGGCTGCAGAGTGCAGGTCTGCCTACCCCGCCCCCACCTTTCCTGGCCGGCTTGGGAGGCAGGGCAACTTCAGCTGCTGAGTCAATGGCAGGACCCCCTGCAGGGATCTTTTAGCAGCTCAGAAATCTCACACCCCTCACAGCCACCAGCAGAAAGAGTGCCCTAAGACTCACATTAAGCCTTCTGGCTGTGCATCTCTCAGCGTGCTTCTGGGCAGGTGAGAGCAGAAATGGCATTGACTTTGTGAAAACCACCAATCACACCTCATAGCACCACTCATCTAGAACTGCATCGCCAGGGTCACTCTGGGAGTCAGGTAGCCGACTCTGCCCCCATAAGACACAGAGGAGTTTTTGTACAGCAGAAAACAACCACCTGGAAATAGCTTGGTGGAATTTAGCCAAGACCGGCACTGGTTTCCTTTCTCTTTTTTTTGGCGTTTTTTGGTTTTTTTGGGGGGTGTTTTGGAGTTTTTTTGTTTGCTTGTTTTGGTTGTTATCTCTATTTCATTTTATTATAATTTTTAGTTTTTTTATATATGTGTATATATATGTGTGTGTGTGTGTGTGTGTGTATATATCCATATATATAGGTGTGTAGACGTCTATATTATTATTACTTTTTGTTTGTTTCTTTTTCTCTTCTTCATTCTTTTCTCCCCTCTCTCCCATCTTTTCATCTTTCTTTTCCCTACTCTACTTTTCCTCCTTTCCATTTTTCTGCAAATTTTTTTTTTGGTGTTGCTATTTTGTTTCTCGTGTTTATTTTGCTTTCTTTGTATGTTTGATATTTTTGTGCATATTGAATGTTGGTTGTTGGTTGTTTTTACATGTGACAGTATCAGGTTTCTTTTGGTGGTTGTTGTGGTTGTGCTTGTGGATCTGTTTTGCACTAAAATCGAATTAGAGAACATACAAATAAATGAAAACACCTACCATGCTCATGGATAGGAAGAATTAATATAGTTAAAATGTCCATACTGCCTAAAGCAATACATAGATTCAATGCAATTCCTATCAAACTACCAAGGGCATTTTTCACAGAAATAGAAAACATAATCCTAAAATTCATATGGAACCATAAAAGACCCGAACAGCCATGGCAATCCTGAGAAATAAGAACAAAGTCAGGGGTTACACGCTATCACACTACAAAGCTACAGTAATCAAAACAGTATGGTACTGGCATAAAAACAGGCACATAGATCAATGGAACAGAATAGAGAGCCCAGAAATATATCCATTCATATACGGACAGTTAATCTATGACAATGGAAGCAAGAATTTACATTGGAGTAAAGATAGTTTATTTAATAAATGGTGCTGGGAAAATTGGACTGACACATGCAGAAAAATGAAACTGGACCACCTCCTTACGCCATATACAAGAACAAATTCAAAATGGACTAAAGACTTAAATGTAAGACCTGAAACCATAAAACTCCTAGAAGAAAATATAGGGAGTAAATTTGCAGACATTACCCTGAGCAATATTTTTACTGATATATCCCCGTGGGCAAGGGAAGTAAAAGAAAAAATGAACATATGGGATTACATCAAACTTAAAAGTTTTTTCACAGCAAGGAAACCATCAATAAAACAAAAAGGAAGCCTACTGAATGGGAGAAGATATTTGTCAACGATATATCTAATAAGGGATTAATATTCAAAATTTATAAAAACTCATGCAACTCAACACCAAAAACACAAACAACCTAATTAAAAAATCGGCAGAGAATATGAAGAGACATTTCTCTAAAGAGGACATACAGATGGCCAGCTGGCATATGAAAAAATGTTCAACCTCACTAATCATTAGAGAAATGCAAATAAAAACTACAATGAGATACCACCTCACTCCGGTTAGGATGGCTATCATCAATAAATCAACAAACAACAACTGCTGGCAAGGCTGTGGAGAAAAGGGAACCCTGGTGCTCTGTTGGTGGGACTGCAGATTGGTGCAGCCACTATGGAAATCAGTATGGAGGTATCTCAAAAAACTGGAAATGGAACTATCTTATGACCCAGCAATTCCACTCTTTGGTATTTATCCAGAGAAACCCAAAACACTAATTCAAAAAAACATACGAGTATGCATCCATATAGTCACTGCAGCACTATTTACAATGGCCAAGATGTGGAAGCAACTTATGTGTCCACTGGTAGATGAATGAATTAAGAAGATGTGGTACATATATACAGTAGAAGATTACTCAGCCATATAAGAATGAAATTTTACTATTTGTGACACCATGGATGGACCTGGAAGGTATTAAGCTAAGTGAAGTAAGTCAGACAGAGACAGACAAATACCATGTGATTCCACTTATATGTGGAATCTGAAGAACAAAATAAATGAAGAAACAAACTCA